CCCCCCCAGGATGCCCCGTGGGTACCGCACGGCCCCCCTGGGCTCCCTGGAGGTGCCGGGGTGCCCCTACAGCGTTCGGGTGCTGCGGGTGGGCTACAACCGCCCCCAGCCCGACGGCTCCGTCCTGGCCGACGGCTCCGTCACCCTCGTCTCGGGGGGTCCCGTCACCGCCCTGGTGGACACGGGGGGTCCCTGGGACGCCCCCCTGCTCCCGGCCCTGCTGGGGGCCCACGGGGTGACCCCCCGGGACGTCACCCACCTGGTGGTCACCCACGGCCACTCGGACCACGCGGGCAACCTCAACCTCTTCCCGCGGGCCACGACGCTGGTGGGCTTCGACCTGAGCCGAGGGGAGGGGGTCTACCTGCCCCACGGGCTGGCCCAAGGGGTCCCGCTGCCCCTGGACCCCCCGTTCCTGGAGGTGCTGCCCACGCCGGGCCACGTGCGGGCCCACGTGAGCCTGGTGGCCCGGGGGACCAGCCTGGGCACGGTGGTGGTGGCCGGGGACCTGTTCGAGCGCGAGGGCGACGAGGGCGAGTGGGGGGCCCTGAGCGAGGACCCCCGGGAGCAGCGCAGGAGCCGGCGCAGGGTGGTGGCCGTGGCTGATGTCATCGTGCCGGGGCACGGGCCGCCCTTCAGGGTCTTCAGGGACCACCAGGAGGGGGACGAGGACGGGGACAGTGAAGGGGACGGTGATGGTGATGATGAAGTGGTGGCTGGAGGCGGCACTGAGGGACGAGGGGACGAGGAATGAGGAGGTGGGACATGGGGACACCCCAAGGAACATGGAGACACCTTTGGAGGTGGCACTGAGGGACATGGGGACACCCCAAGGGACACGGGGGACGAGGCCTGAGGAGGTGGGACATGGGGACACCCTGGAGGTGGCACTGAGGGACGTGGGGACACATCAGGGGACATGGGGACACCCCTGGATGTGACACTGAGGGACATGGGGACACCCCAAGGGACATGGGGACACCCCTGGAGGTGGGACACAGGAACAGGGGGACACCCCAGGGGACATGGGGACACCCTGGAGGTGACGCTGAGGGACATGGGGACACCCTGGAGATGGGACACAGGGACATGGGGACACCCCAAGGGACATGGGGACACATCAAGGGACATGGGGACACCCCAAGGGACATGGGGACACTCTGGAGGTGGCACTGAGAGACACGGGGACACCCCCAGGGGAGGTGACACCCTCAGAGGTGGCCCCAGGGGACACGGGGACACCCCCGGGGGACACGTGAGGGTGACAAGAGCAGCCAATGGGACCCCCGGGCTGGGGGGCGGTGGCTGTGACGTCACTGGGGGGG